AGAGCTGGTGGCCCCGCACGTGGGGGTGCAACGTGCTTCCTAGGAGATCCCTGGGGCAGTGAGCTCCCCGGCGATGGAGACGTTCAAGGGCTGGCCTTTCTGGTCTTTGCAGAAGGAGCCACCGGCTCCTAGCTGGGGTGGGGTGAGGGCAAGAGCATTTGGGGGACCAGGTCATACTAGGCCAAGCAAAACAAAGCAGAAAGGTTTGAAATTTAAGACCAGCCTCTTGCAATAAATGATAGAATAATAATAGATGATAGATTAACTAGATGATGATAGATAGATAGATGATGATGATAGATAGATAGATAGATAGATAGATAGATAGATAGATAGATAGATAGATAGATAGATAGATAGTAAATGTTGGAATGTTAGTTCTCTTTCCCTGGACAGCCAAAATGCACCCAAACAATCTCCCTACCTCAAGATCCTTAATTACAACTGCAAAATCCCCTTTGCCATCTAAGGCAACACAGTCGCAAATTCCTAAGACTAGCAGGCATCTGTAGGAGCCATTAGTCAGTCTATCAGCTCCCCTCCAAGCAGTGTCAGTGTGCACAAAATAAGAGGCTACCACTTGGCACATGGACCTGATCCACACAAAAAACATGATTTCTCTCTCCTCACTCCAACAGTAGACTTCCTCATCCCACAGAAGGATGAGAAAGTGGAGATCAATATTTTCCTGACCTCACCCCTCTAGACTCAGCCTATAATTCATGATAGTTAAATTGGATGCTGTCCCATTAAGTAACACAAATAAAAATAATTCCTATGTCTTAGGAAAAAAATCAGCCTTTTCTGTGTTCCCATTGTGGCCTGTGCGTACTTAGACCCTATCGCACTCGTAACAGGGCCAGAGCCAAACCTTCTTCATCTTGGTTCTCCAGTGCTAAATGCAAGATTTCAATCATCGGCACTGAAATATTTGAGCGAACAAATCCAAGTTTCAGTTCAAACACCACTGTTTGAGGTCTATCATCTAGTGCAATTATTCAGCTTGTTAATAAAATGAGGACAGTACCTTTTGGGGAGATTAAATGAGATAGGTAATGTAGATGATGAGTTTAGCACAATGCCTGGCACCCAGTGGAAGCTCAATAAATACCAGGAGTGTCTAATCTCCATCCCATCTAGGAGTTCTTGAGAAATATCTTTAAAATGATCATGTTATTGGGCCTCTACTCAAGTACTCCATCAATGCAAGAACACTTTGTTCTGATAACCTGGCATCCAATGATGCTCACCTTCCTGACACGATCACTGAAGACAAAATGGGTGCATAAGCAAATGTGGTGAAGAAAGCTGACGGTGCCCTGCTAGCAAAAGATATAGCGTCTGTGGTCTTAAAGACTTGAAGATAAACAAGCGGCCATCTCCCTGAGAAGCAACAAAGCCTACATGGAAGAAGCACACCAGCCTGTGGGATCACGAGGGTCGATGGAATCAGTATCAGGCATTAAAGAACAAAAAATCATATCATTGTGCATGAGGGGCAGTGTGGAGTGGGGACCTAAAGCCCATCTGTAGGCAACTGGACATCCCCTTACAGAAGGGT